AAATCTCTGTCAGCTATTTTTCTAAAATAGAGTTTCCTCTGAACTTTTTATTTAATTTTAGCTGTTCACAGTTCAAAAACTCGTCCATCACTCTGAGTTAACGACAAGCAAGGTTATCCTAGTTAACTAAAACGAAACATTGAGGTTAGGTTAATTTTAGTGAAATTACAAATAAAAAAGTAAAATGAAAAAAAAAATCTCTGTCATGGACAGTGCACAGGAGATGTGGAGAGGAGATGCAGGCTAGATGCACTGGGTGTAGACGGGTGTCAGGGGTGACGTGATTTATGACAGAAAGGTAGTGATAGCGAGAGTAAAAGAGAAGCTCTCATAACCTGCTGTGATGTATGGTTTGGAGACAGGACGTGAGGCCAAAGACAGAGGAGTTGATGATGTTTGTTGGGAGTGAGCAGGATGGACAGGATAGAGGCAGCTGATCCACAGATAATCCTGCAGTGAGAGCTTGTCCTTTAATAACACAATTTATCTGCAAAATAACAAGTTTAAAAATAAATTTTATGGATAAAAAGTATAATCTACGTGCAAAATATAGTTTAGTAGAAACATATGCATATAACAGGTGTCATTATATGACCCCCTGCTGGTCTCTAGTCTTTGTTTTTAAAGGTTTAGTAAGCAAAAGACCATTTGACCTGAGACTTGTGTAGTGTTTATTAACTCAGAGTTAGTGTTTATACTGAGGGTTGTTGGAACATTAATAAGCCCAGTGTTCCTGTAACTGTGTGGTGTATGGAGCACATGATTGTGGCCCATACACCATCTCTTAAAATGTAAATATTCAGCATAAATTCTCATAGATTTATTTAAAAAAAAAAAAACTTAAATAAAAAAATCTAGGTCATTCACTGTGACATTGCATTTGTTTATTTACCATTTTCTTAACTTAATATGAAGTAAGATTAGATTAGATGAAACTTTATTAATCCCTCGGGTGGGTTCCTCCAGGAAATTCAGGAAATTGAACTGCAGAATAAGTCTGCAAACTACATCAAGTCCTTGTAATTTATCTTCTTGATAAATAAACACCTGAGTATAACCCACTCGTGTTAAATTGAGGTCATTTGGTTTTTTTGAAGCAATAAGCTCAAGTAATTTCTTTAAATGCATCCAACTTATTAAATTTTACAGCAACTGGAAGTAAGAAGAAAACATTTGTCTTTATTTTGCCAGTAAATAAATTGTTCAACTTTAAAAAAATATTTAAAACAAGCAAAAACAAAGCAGTACTCAAAAGAAGCACTCTCATCCCACTTTGATTTTTTTCTTTTATTGCCAACACACACTTTTAAAGTCCTTCCTTGATGTCATAGCAAACATTCAGCTGGTTTTCAGGCTGTGGCTGATTGTGTTTAGTTCAAGTGTTGTCGTCACACAAGGCTACAGTAAAATCTGACTTCTGTGCAGTGCAGGCCGGGTTTTCACATGAGACAACCAAAAGAAAAAGAAAAGAATCACTCACAGTCTTTTAACTTCAGCTGTGGTTAATCCAAATGTTTCAAACGAGAGTAAAATGCAAAAATCAGACAATATATCTTTAAAAAAGGGGAGGGGCATAAAATGAGATCTCACAGGTGGTGACACCCTTGTTTTTAGTTGGAAAAAGAAATTTTACATTGAGAAAAACTTTGAAACTCTGCTCACACATCCTTTCACAGTGGTGAAAGCTTCCTCATATTTACTTTTTAAACCCTCATTTTCTTTGGGAATCATGTCATTAATACATTTAACGAGCTGTGGGATGTTTCTGCAGTTGGGTTTGACTTTTGTGGAACATGTTGCTGAAATAAAATCTAAGGTTTATTAAAAAAGATTTGATATGTTGTCTTTGTATTGTTTTTGTTTAAATAAAGATACAAACTGAAATGATGGGATTCTCTTTATTTAAATTTCACATTCTGAACAGCTTGTTTTTGGAGAGAGTGAATTAGCTTCGGAAGTTACGGAAGTTTAAAGGCGTCCACTTATGCTTATTTCCATATTTTGATGATTGGGTTCTGATAGAGTAGCTTTGCATGACTCGAAGATCGAAATCATTCTTTTTTTTTTTTCGTTCAGTCTTTCCCTTCATACTCAAAACAATCTGCTTCCATCCAATTTTTATGACCTCAACTAAATACTTATATTTACTGCTGTGTTTTTTTTAATCTTAAAAATGTTTCCCCAACAATTTGTCAGTTTCCTTCTTTGAAAACCTTTCATAGTTTTCTGTAAGATAATTTGCCCACGTGTGTGGTAAAGATCATGGAAAGTTGTGAGGAAATATATTTATGTTTTTAGGCATTACGGGTAAATTCCCATTTCTAATCCCTGTGTTGTGCTTAAAAGTGGGAATGAATCATTGTGATGTTTTGTAGTGAACCATGGCTAACACAGCTATAATGCAAAGATTTACTGCTGCAGAAGCCCTGAGACAGACATGTAATGCCCAAACTGACAGCTCAGCTGATGTAGGAATGAGTCCAGTCGACTCCTTTTTGCACAAAAATGATCAAAAACTAATGAATAAACAAATGACTAAGAATATTATAAAATGTCTGTGTAGGTTCCCAGTTATCCAGGTCATGGTACTCTAAGGAGCTTGGATTTTTTTTTAAATTTTCTTGAAGATGTTCCACCTCTCATCAGAGAAGCTTCTTCAGTTCTAAGACATATCTTAGAATACGTCATAGATAGGGAAACAGTATAGGTACGATAAACACAGACAGAGCCATTTAAAACAAGTCTGTCCATTTCATGAGTTTCTATTATAATATCTGGTACTGATGCAAAGTTTATAGTCTCCTAAAAGATCAGGAGAGAAACTTTAAGCTAAATAATGGGGTCATAAATGACACTACTCTGTCATTTTAGCCAGTAAAATAGCTTCCAACCGTACATGTATATGACATACAGTGAGAAGAATAAAAGGTTTCCTTTATTGAAGACTGACAGCTTGTGAAATGATGCAGTGAAACTGAAAAACCTCTGAAGAAATTCAAGTTTGTCAGCCTGTATAAACAATTCAAATGAGGCTCGGGTTCAGCCCGTAGTCTGACAGGCAACAGGTATGCTTACCCTCGGAGTTCAGTCTGTTTACATGGTAAGAGTTGAAAACTAGCACTTAATACAAAGCAGAGCTGAAGCTGATGGAAATTCAGTTAAACTGGAGGTGTTCAGTTCTACATAACTGACATATTAAACAAAAAGCTTTAAAGTGATTAGAAAACGAATTCTAAATTTCTCAAGGTGTGGCCACACAGGGAAGGATGCCTTAACTTTCTTTGAATTCAAACCCAAAGTTGTCAAGTAAGCAAAGAGTGAGTGAGACTGAGCGCGTCTGTTGTTGTTACTATAGCAGCAAACCTTGCAAACATTAACAAATAAAGCTGATGTCAAAAATTAACAGGACAAAAACCCACAAACACCAAAAAGGATTTGTACAATTTTCTGTGAGGGCTGAATAGAAAGGACATCACAGTTACAGTAACCCACCCTCTGGAAGCCACAAATACATCTGACGGATTGGTTGTTGCACATACCTCTCATTATGCGTTAAAACTTATAAACTTCAGAACAAGTGAGAAGATTACAAACATCATCTGGATTCATGAATGCCTGAGCTAAATTTAGAAGATTTAGATTTGTATGTCAGGAAGTAGAGCAGGTCATCTTATAATTGTAAAGTTGTTGGTTCCCTGGCTGCTCCAGTCTAGACACCAAATATCCTTGGGCAGGATACCAACCCCAAGCTACTCTCCAACACATCCATGGGATGATGAATGAAAACTATGCTTAAGAAAGCACAGAATAAAAGTGCTTATATGAATGAATCAAGCTGGGGTCACAGGATAGAGCACTTATGTGCGTTACCCTGTGACCCTGACAAGGATAAACAGAAGAAAATGGATGGATGGTTGTTATTTCAGTCTTAAACTTTGAAGACAACCACTAGCCTGGCTATGAGCTCAGCATCAGTAGGATAATTTCTATCAACAGTGAGGTGAAGTCTGAGAAAAACAAAAGAGAAAAAAATAATTAAATGGCAGATTCAAAGCTGAAAGTTTTGTTTCAGTGCCTGAAACATTTTTGGAGGTTTGTAAGTACAAATCCAGCTTTGTACCTTGATGCCCTTCTGTAATCTCACTGGTGACATTTCCCCCCTCCAACTACAGATTAACAAACTTGAATTTCTTAGTTTTTCACAAGTTATCATTTCTGAGTACCAACCATCAAAAAAATGATTTTCAGACCAAGTTTCTGTGATTGTTGGAACTTCTTCAATCAAAACGACACAGTACACCTTGAGGCCAGAAGTTAAAACTCAACCAGAAAAAGATGCTTATCAGAAACAATAAACAAAGGAAGGACCCACCCCAAAAATATTTAGTGTGCTGGGTCCAGTTATTGATCCATTTCATCCAGTTAGCTGTATGTGGATTTGAGGATTTATGCCTATAAATAAACCCAGCTAGTGATGTCACCTATGACTGTGGATCTGAAACTGAATAAATCTGAAACAGCAGTTTAAAAACAAAAAAAGGAGATTGAGTATTGGTGGGTTGCAAAGCAGGTTGCAGATAACCTGTAAGCAGGGTAAAGCAGCTTAACACATGCACAGTACGAGACACACAGATTAGATTCTCAGAGGTTTTAACTATCCTAAGAGACAGGGATCATGCATGCTGACCTGACAGTCGTGGAGCAATTCTTCCTTTTTAGATCTTTATAGGCAAACCAAACCTCTAAAACCACCGGAACAAGTGGAATAAGAGGTTAGATGGTGCACCATATTTGGGATTTTGTGCCAGTTCTGCTGTACGTCTCTGTGCTTTGTGTGACAGATTACTGCAGGTTTAACTGTTCAACTCCTCAACTCTGACAGAAAATAAGAATAAAGCAGCCCAGCACTGAGACTTAAGAGTTTAGGGATAGATTTTTCTCTTCAGAAAACCAGAGGAGGAAACCCCCTACTGACTAACACAGAGACAGATGAGACTGAATATAATTAAATGAGTGTTTTTCCTCACAGATCACACAAAGAAAGAACTCATCAAAGTCCCTCAGTGTCCTCAAATGTGTTTAAAAATACAACAGGGTATCATCTGCAAAAAACAAACAAAAAACAACAACTAAGTGAGTCAGGCCTGTGCATAGAGAATAAAACTGCATATAATGCGACTGACATGTGGAGTTAGTTTCATCTCAGGTGAAACCTGAGGCAGACGGCCTCACTGCATTCAGAAGAGTTCACAATAATCCGAAAACTCCAGCGTTTTTTAAAATGTTTTTTTTTGCACGTCAGTGTGTAAAATGGATTATTCTCAACATCAATGTGTCGCAGTAACAAACTTAAAAGCGGCTTCAGCATTTTGACAAAATTGCAGATAAATCTTTATGTGGAAAGTGAAATAAATTAGACTAACAGTTTTTTTTTTGCAGGCTGAAACAGAGGAGAGAGCGTCAGTAAGTCAGTACTGCAACGGCAACAGACGTGTTTGCAAAAACAAGGCAAGAAAAAAATGGACAAAAAGTAACATTCCTCATAAATACAGAATAAATATTAAAAAACAAACAAACAAAAAACAACCCCACACATTCACAGTCGTCTTTCTTTTTCCTCACTGCTCACAGGATTTGATTCTCAGTTCAACAAGAGCAAAAAGATTCCCAGTGCAACTGATAAAAATCAGCCACGTTTTTTTAATATGAAGGGATCACCTCTGGAAGGTGAGCTTGGCATCAAAACATAGCTAAAAATGAAACCTTTTCATGCCATAGCATGGTCTGATCCTCCACCTATCCCTCATGGTGAGATGACTACTGAAGGTTTACCCAAAACGCACTTTTTCTCCAGGATACCAAAACCTGGTTCTGTTACTCAGAATTATAGACATTAAAATGCAGAGGAGTAATTTCACTGCGGGGACTAACACATTATTTACATTATTATAATTCCGTGTCCAAAAATCATGGAAAAAACTAAAACTCTGTTAAGGTGATGACACGTGGAGTGAAGTTAATCTGGAGTTATGAGGGCTGAAAAATGCTGGAAATTAATAAATTAAAAAGTTCAATCTTCCACTCAACCCTGTGTACTTTAAGGGTCTGCAACTCGCCCCTAAGTGAGTTGCAGACATAGTGTGATGTAAAGTTTTACACGTCTTCATTAAATACCCTAAAGTAATTTTACAGAAACAACATCTGCTGATTGTGAGGGGTGGGGGGCACTGATTGGTTCTCCATATTTACCTCAGCAGCTTTTTATTCTCTATAATTCACTGCAGCTGATCTCGCATTCACTGACCGGTCAGCTGACAAAATACATTTTCACACTCATTTTGAAGATGTTGCAGAGGCTACAGCACCAAATGACAATCAGGTGAGAAAGAGCAGAAGAAGAACAGCACATCTGCATATTTTCCTTTGTAATTTTACAACTTTCATCTCTAAAAATTGTTTTGGTTCGACCCCCTGACACATCCTGTGATTTTGTTTTATTTAATTCCCCCTAAACGTTTGGAGCTTCACTGTGTGGTGGCAGGTGTTTCTAGGTCCTCATTATGGTAATAAAAAGGGAAAAGTTTTCACTTTTTCATCATTTACTCCAACTCCATTAGCATGGAGCAAATTCAGAGCTCTGGTGTGATGAGAAACAATCGTGTCGTTGCTCTGGACCAAGTGTGTAGAATAAGTTCAGCTTGTTTTGAGGCAGTCACCAATCTTTTAAAGGCTTTTGTGATTCAGAGACAAACTGACAATTCTAAATAGTTTTTATGTCCCGGTGATAACGGAACTAAAGTTATGGCTGCAGAATCGCGAGAGCTGCTTTAAAGGGACTAAATTGTTGCTTTGCTTCAAACACTATGAAGGTTTATGGGCTGAAGGTGATTTGTAGGTTTCTGAGAGTTCAGGCAGAGAGGAAGAACAAAAGGGCAGTGCGCACACATCACACAAACTCAGACAGTGTTCTGCTTTGGAAAAAGGTCCAAACACCAGCAGCTCATTCAAACCTTAAGTAAAAGCAACAGAGCAGCTGTGTGGTTTTCTCTAACTGTGCAAAAAAAACCCCAAAAAAACAAACAGAGACACTCTTAGAATGAATGAGGTAAAAATTTAGACACTGAACTTCCATCTGAGTGCGTGCACAGTCCAGACCTCACACACTGGGGCAGTTACACTTTCTCGTTTTGTTCTTGAGGCTCTGCAAAGATGACGTCACCTGCAGCCCGGTCAGGGGATCACAAAAAAAATCTGAATACCAGCATTTAAATTCTCAACCCTTTCTGATACAACCAAAGTGTGACAGATTCTCCACTGAAGGGGGAAAAAAATCATAGAGCAGCATGCTGTTGAAAGTGCACACACACATACAAACACGCACAACTAAAAGATCAGATACACACCATGCACTCAAACACACACACACACGATTTGGCAAAATACTCCTCGGTAGTTTGAACTCGTCTCTCTCCTCCTCGATGGCAGCTTTCACTCTGCATTCCCTCTTCGAGTATTAGATCAGTGTAGGACAGGAGGGATGCTGAATGGCTGCGGCTAACATGGCAGCCGTCGCATGAAGTGAAAGCAAAGGACTGATATCAGCTTTGTTCTCCTTTTCTGCCCTCACTCCTTCTCCACCTCCTTCTCCGAAGTCCACTGCTGATGAAAGTAAGGCAGGAAGTATTCAATAACATCACTATTTTTTCTTCTTCTGAGCTGCTGGCGGACGGCGCACGCCGCCGTTCCTCTCCTCTGAGCAGACACTAGAGGGCAGCAGGGACAAACACACGGCCAGATGACTCAACGCTACGGCTTGAAATGACACTCCGGTAACACACTGGCGTCTCACAAACACAAACAATAGCCACACTTTTGTTAAAAAGGCTTTTCCGTGTCCTTCAGCGCGCTCCCAGCCCTCTTCTCCTTCTTCAAACACATCCTTTAAGTCCTTGTTTGTCTCATCTCGCAGGTTTTAAAGCGCCAGATGCAGGCCAGTCGTAAAAAACAGCAAAACACACACTCCGTCCTCGCTGCCTAGGCCATGTAGATGAAGGTGTTGATGTCCGCCTCGTCCCTCTTTATGTATTTGTGCTCGATGAGCCACTCGATCTGCTCTTTTATCATCTTTTTCTGAGGCAGAAACATGTTCTTCAGGATCTCCACCAGCTCCGTCTGCAGCTGGGCGTTGCTGATCCGCTTCCTCATCTTCATGATTTGGATGATGGCCTCCTGGAGAGGAAAGAAAAGGAAATGTTAGAACTTTGTGTAGACCAGGAATTGTGGCGTAAATTCTCTACGGACGCGTCTGCACACAGGCATGAAGACGTCCACATGGACCCTCGTGCTAACTGTCTGATGAAGTCATTTACATTTACCGTTACATTGCCTTATCATTACTCTGTAAAATGTCCTGAAACGCACTGTCACATAAACAAACACAAATCCCACATAGATAACTACTGAGGACACACATACGAACTTTCTTGTAGTATTTACGTGTGAATACAAAGGTAGGTAGAAACAGGTAGAAACGGAGGCTGTGGCTGCAGTGCTGAGGTCAGAGTGCACTCAACCTTAACGACATCTTAACGGGTTCCTGGCTAGCTTGGCGTTAGCATGCTGGCTGTGCAGACGTTTGCTGAAGTTGTGTTTTTTTTCATTCAATAAAAATAAAAGTAATGTTTATATCTCCGCTCCGCAAAGCTGTACCACGTCACAATTTTCTTCCTCCCACATACAAACTGAAATCAGCTGATTGTAGCGCAAGTGAAAAACATGAAGAAGAAAAGAAAATGTTTCATTTTTTTCTTGCCCAGCTTCCAGATAACTGAACAACTTTTGTAATGCAGGTAATGACATCAGTATAACTGTAATGAAATTAGTGAATTTAGTAAAGCCTGACTGTGCTTTACATTAATGAAAAATGTGATGTGATAACGGCAAAACCCAGCACTGTTGTCGAGCCGTAACCTGCTCATGCCCCAGATGAGCTGAACAGAAGCAGCAGAGTTGAAGCATCTCTGTCCTGCAGCCATCAAGGCTGCACACAGTCTGTGCGGGTGGAGTGTTCCCGTACCTGAGTTCTCAGTATTCTGAGCTGAACGATTCCTTCATTCTCCTCTTCTCTCATTCGCTCTGTGGTCAGCTGCAGACGGCCAATCAAATTGATCTTTCCCCGCTTCTGAACTTTGGAGTTTTTACTGAGAAAAATGTCGACATTTAGACACAGATCAGTATCTGAATATTGGGACTTACACAGCGGTGATATAGAGGAGAGCTTTAGTTACTCTGTACATGAGTGGATTATAATAACAATGAAACATTTAAACATGTCCACATCATTTCCAGAGGTTAAGATTTGTATAAATGCCAAGACCTACATGAGAGAGAACTCCTGGTTGACGTAGAAGAGCGTGCCGTCTGTGAAGTCTTTGGGTGAGCTCACCGGGGGGTCGTAAGACAACACCTGCCTCTTCAGCTTCGGGAAGGCGACCAGAGACTGCACAGTGAGGAGAGAGCAGGAGACCTGAAGTTAAACTTTATCATCATCATCAGCCACAAATACCGCGTGTTAAAGGACAGCTTGACTCTTATTTAATCACCACTGACTTTCTGTGGGCATAACTGTTGCTAAGTTTCATTCTAGGATGTTTTTTTTCTTTCCCTAGAATCGGTTACTGGTGTACGCTTAATAAGTCCATTCTTGGTCTGTTCCCATCTTACTTGCAGACGTACAGACAGGCGTTCACAGGCTCCTTCTCTGTGGAATTAGCTGCAAAATGAACCAAACCTAAAGGAGCTGCTCACGTTAAACAGCATTAAGCTCATTTTAACTGACCTGCAAACAGTTACTTCATGGCTGCTGGAACATTACTGCCCCCTTGTGGCCAGATATAACTGTGACAGTTACCTGTTACTATGTTTTTATGTCATGTAGTATTTTCATTAATGATCTTACATGTTTAAACTTCTTCCGTGTTGTTGCATGCATTATTAATCTATGTAACCATTGCTGGTTGACCCGATGCCTGCCTTTGCCGGGGCACTGCTGCAAAATACATTTTTTATCTTAAGAGTCTTAAAATAAAAATGTAGTACAGGCAGTGCTAACAGTGCTGAGCACAGCTGACTCCGAGTTCAAACCTGCCTGTTGTCCAAAAGTTGAGAAGGAATAGATGTCCTTTCACTTCTCAAACAAAGTTAGACACAATCTTCCCTTTTATTTTAGAAGTCTTTTCACGTTTTAACCAAATCACAGTGTTGTTTAAACATCTGCCGTCTCCACTGGGTGGATGGCTTTGCAATACAGGCAGCGTTATCTCTACTACAAGTTACGAAGAATTGATGTAACCTCAGTAACTTTTAAATCCTCTGTATTTCTGGTCTAACTTGTAAGTGGAGAAATTCGGTCTGACCCAGAGTGTTCGGCGCAGCTCTGCGTCGGGCAGCTCTGTGGCCAGTTTGAGATTCTCGAAGCTGATTCGCTCTCTGGGTCTCTGATTCCAGGCAAACAGCACGGCGAGCTGGAACGTCGTCACCTCCAGGTCGTACTGCCCCACTTCATTTTTAAAGGTGATCTGATCAGAGCAGAACCAAAGGACAAGGAAGGAAAGGTGAGTGTCAGTGCTGATTTGGTAGCCCGATATCATCTAAAGAGAAAGGTGGGCAGCAGCGGGCTGTAAACAAAAGTTGCTAAAAAATACACCAGAATAACTCTCCAGTAGTCTCAACCAGCACTTCCAAAACACTGTCAAGTTAAACTGTTTTTCTAACTTTCCACATGACCCAAAGAATCCCTGTTTGAAAACTGGAAAGTGTAAACAGAGGTGACCAGAAAAAAGATCACAGAGATAACAAACGTCTGAAGGAGAACAGTTCATGAAAATATGAGTAAAACTGAGAGAGTATCACCCGAGCGTGAGAAAATGCTCAGGTGTGCACACATGAGTATCATTTAAAAAGGATATTGTCAATAACTTGTGTTCTTTTTATTTAATCCAGTTCTTTTCTCAATTATTTACGTTTATGGACATTCTTGCATCCAAATTTCTTATAAAAGTCCTGTTTGATAATAAAATTGAAGATTTAGAGTTCCCTTAACTCCAAATATCAGGCGTTCTTCATAACAGAAGGCGTTAAGAAACAAAAATCTTCTATTTCCTAATTTGTAAAAATCAAAAATTCAATTTAATTTAAATTCCCAGAATCTCCCACACTGCTATATTTCTAGGGCTTTTATTCTGAAATGTACAGACAGGAAGATGCCCTGTTTTTTGCACATGCAGAAAAAATTTGAACAAATTTGTATGGATGACAGATAAACAAAGAAGAGATGAGAAAAACAGAAAAATGTATTCAGATTTTAGTTTCCAGGAGAGTCGTGTTTTCCGCTCTTCATGGCAGCAGGAACTCTGCTTTACTCCACACACTCACAATGCCGTTGGACATGAGGTGATGCCAGTGGAGCTTCCGACCGCTGTGATTCCTCTTGTAGAAGTCCTCCACCTCGGGGATCAGGTCCTCCAGCTCTGTGGGCAGCGAGACGAAAACCTTCTCACTGCTTCGTGACCAGGCGCCGGCGTTCAGGATCTTAATGTTCACGCTGTCCGCTGCACGGAGAGGAAAAGATGAAGTGAATAACCAAGAGAAACCGTTTACGCTCGGTTTAATACGTGACACGTCATAATCAAAATGTGCTTTAACTGTTTGAGACATGTGCGGCACCATGCTACACATAATATCGCAGACATATGTCATAGCTAACGCATGTTAGCATAAAAATAGTTGCGCTGTATGCTACAGTGCGTGCGTGTGTTACCTGGCAGTGCCAGCTTGTTGTGTTTGTGCATCTCTTTGAAGACCTGATTGAGGTCCTCTGACACCTTGATGTCCTGAAACATCCTGGCAAGCTTGTTCACATAATCAGCAGGCATGCCCACTTCCTACAGCCACACACAGACACACAAAGGAAGCAATAAAATCAGACAAACGGGCAATTTGATTGTTAAACATCAGATTTACATCACATGGCATGATGTGATAAAATATTTAAAAGAACCAAAGCCTTCGTCTCTATCAAGTAACCAGTTTTTCTGCGTCGGGAAGAGCAGTTTCCCGATGTGTTTTGCATAAGCACAAAAACATAAATCACTTACAGGACACCCTAGAAATGATAAAAGCACTTAAAACTGGCTTAATACTTTAATTTATACTAAAGCATATAGTTAGGGCTGGATCAGGTGACCCTGAATCCTTCTTTAGTTAAATAAATAAAACTGAATTGAATTTTGCTGCATTAATATATTAATGCAATATCAATACATATGTTAATATGTCGCTGAAATCAGTAGCGATTTTATGACTCTGCTGCTGAAAGTTCAAGAAAAGCTGAACTCACTCTCAGCCACTCCACCATGTTCTCTTCAATCTCGCTGTCGGCCGAAATGTCCAGGATGAGGCGCCTGGTCAGATGAGCTTTGTGGTAACGCATGAACACGTCTTTGTTCTGGACGTATTTCAGCACCAAGAGCTGCAAGGAGGGGAGAGAAAAGCATGAATCTGCGAGAGAACGAGAGAAGGGGAAGTCATAAATGGACTGATATGCTTTGAGATTAGACTCACCACTTCTTTGAGTTTGAGCTCAATTTCCTCTGAGGTCAGTTTCTTGCTGAGCGGGGTTTTCCTTAGCAGCATGTCACAGTAGTTTGCCAGCAGCTCCGGACACTTCGACTCCGGCTGAGTCTTCATTCCCACTCTGATTCAACAAGGAAATGCATTCACACATTTATGCACACACACACACACTGTGACCAGTTTTAACCAGCGACGAGCGATTTAAGACCCACAGTGGCCAAACATACCCTTTCTGTTTCATCGGCAGCTCCAGTTTGAAGATTGTGGCATCATTGACGACCGCTTTGTAAGCCTGCGAGGTAACAGAAAATACCGCCGCAATGAGAAAAACAATTCTTAAAATACCAAAGAGCCCTAAAGCCTTTCAATTTCAGACAATAAATTGAAACAATTAGATTTCTTCACTAGTGGTTTTAGCAAAAGCACAGCCGACTAAAGATTCCCGAAGTCCTTGATAAACCAGCTAACAGCTGAACAAAATAACATGTGATGATGTTTGATTTCTACTGTAACCCTAACAGAGATCCCAGCAGCCCCCACCTCCAGTAGTCCATGCTGCTCTGATTTAAGACGTTCTGTTTATTTTAGCAGAAACCTCCTCGAATCAGCACAGATCAGGATGTGACAGTACGATGAATCCACATGTGTGAACACCGGATCACTTTTCTTCCCGGTGGATTACATTGGATAAATAAAGCTACAGTTAAGTTCTTATGAACCTGGAGTATTCGTGTAGAACCCTCCTGCTATTCTGAAGCTGTGCTGTAGCACCGACACTGTAAAAGTGAAACCTGTTCATATGAACTTTGACCAAAATACCAGCCCAAACGCTGCACCTGACCCTGACCTGTGAGGAATACACAGGCCTGCACATTCTCATTTAAATATCACTGGATATTTGAACTTAAAGGAGTGACTTCTTTGGAAGTCAGATAAAACAGACCTTATCTCTTGCTGTGAGGAAGCGTGGGTCATCCTGGAAAGCCTCCTTTACCAGCTTACTGAAGCGGTTAAACAAAGTCAGCAGCTGCTCCACATACTTTTCAGAGTCCTGAACAAACACACATTAAAAATGACTGAGCAAGCTGTCAGAGCAGACCTCGAATATTAACTTTCATCTCTCATCTTTCAAACATGCCAACAAACGGCTCATTCCATAAAAAATACAAAAAATGATTTCAAATCTCAAAAAGGTTCCCACTTAAATGAAGCCATGCAAGGTTTATTCATACTATGAATGTTTCCCGAGTACAACAAAGGAGTCCAAACCTTGCACTTAAAGAAAAAGAGCAACTTTAAAAGTGCCAGATTTCACCCGTACACCTGTAACTATGTTAAATGTATTTGCATGGCTTCATTAAATAAAAAAACATTGAGCCGACTCTGAGGGGAACAGCTGCAGGAACTGACGGATTCTTCCTCGAGTGACCGTGGTTGCTAAAGTGTGTGTTTGTGCACGTACAGTAGTGATAGTCTCTGCAGCAGCCACCATGTCCGCTAGTCCAGCACTGATGATATGCTCCTCCAGGTCTTTCAGCATGGGCTCGATCCCGTTGGGAACCTTGTCCATCAGTGAAAACATGAGGTGCAGCTCTGCCCCAGAGAAAAGCAGCGTCACACACTGGACAAGAAGCACGTGGGATGAAACTAAAACTTCCTGCTCTTTCTGGCTCATGGAAAGCCCAGATGGCTGAGGACTGCCATAATCCAAGTCCTCAAAATGATTTTTGCCAACTTAAAGAGTAAGCTGAACTTGTTCATTTAATTATAAATCCTTCTACTAATAAAAACAACTTGTGTCGTAAATGCTCACGAGCCCTGACTGTGGTTGGTGAACAAACAGCTCTACATGCAGGAAACCAGAGCAGAAGCAGTTTCTATCTTTAAATCTACCCTGACTGATGCAGCAGTGAATTTCAAAGCCCCTATTTTCAGCAGATGTTATATTTTGTAGTGCGAATCAACAGAGTTAACTTCAGCAGCGACGTTGCTGAGGTACTCACTGACTGTCTCGTTGCGTTTGATCATTCCTGGACATTCGGCGAGGATTGTCTCTTTGAACGAGGTCACCAGAGCGTTCACGCAACACTCCATCAGCTGTGAGGATACACAGAACATACAGACTGCCGTTAGGACGAGATATAAATTAACAGGCAGCACGTACATTTAACAAGACTCCCGAAATTCAGTTTAAACTGAAACCAACACAGGAAGTGACCCTAAAAGAAAGGCCAGATGAAGGAAAGCACACACGGGAGGGTTCAACACAACCAACGGATGACTGAGAGAAAGTTCAGTGACGAGCTGCTGACCTGAGGTTGTTTCCTCACGACTTCACAGGTGAAGTTGTTGTTACATCGTCTTGTTACAACTACTTGTTACTTTCACAGGTGAAGTCGTAGGTGTACAAGATATAACAAGTTATTTTTTCTTGCAGTCAGAAGTTTTGAGTTAAAGTAAGCATACGCAGGCTGCAAAACATATTTAGGAGCCCAAGCAGGCCCCATTTTTCCACAACAAAATATGTGACAAACAACAGAAGTTTGAAGCAAAGAGCCAGCATGGCAACCAAGATGGTGAAAGCAGGTGGAGCTGAGTCAGCACCAGCTGTGCTTTTTACTGCAGTCAGAATTAAACCTGAGGGGGTAAAGGGTCCATGGCAACCCTTTCTTCATGAAAGCACCTGTTCAACAAGCTTAAACATGAAGAAAAGCGTCTCCTTCTACCTTCAGGTGTGTCGACACAGCGACAGCACAACTCAATTAAAGTCAAATGAAAGCAGTTTGATTTCAGGTGAACTCCAGAAATAAAAAAGCCGTCTCCCTTTCTGGCAGCGATGCCTGCAGCATCCAGGCGGGTAGCAGAATAAACTTTAATTAGCTTATTCACTATGTTCATTTATTCATTATAACAGTGGCTCTCAAATTGGGGTGCCTGGACCCCAAGGGCTCCACGAGCCATATACTGGAAACATGTCGTGGCACATAAATACATGCGCATCACCCGGGCCTGAGCTAATTAGCCCAATGGACACATTTTTAAGTCCAAGCCAAACCAGCTAAAATTAGAAAGTATGACGACGGTTATGTTTGAGTTTGGCTTTATCGAGAATGACGATGGAAGACCAAAACGGGTTATGTGTCTTCGAGTGGTAGCAAATGAAGTCAGCCAAGCTAAAGCGTAACGAGTTTTATCAGCATGATTAAGGCAGCCCTTGGGAAACTTTTTACCCGCTGTAAGGAGGAGTCCCTGCCTCCCAAAAGTTTGAGAAGCTCTTAGTAGAAATAATTTTAGCCCAAAGTCATCTGGGATGAGCTCAAGCCCTCCCTCGACCGTGAACTGGATAAGCTGTTAGAAAAAATGGATGGCTGGATGGATCGATACCAATTATTGTGCAGATTTAGATCATAGAATCAAAAATATAAATCTGCTAAATTGTTGGTTATATACATCAAGAAATACATAAATTATGAAGGCAAAGAAATTAACATGAGCTTTCTCCACAGGCCAATAATCTTATCTGTCCTACCTCGGTGTCATGTGTAGAGCACAATCAGGCTCGGTTATGATGTTCTGCATCAGTACACCGAATATAACGTGAGCAGATGATGGGACAGTTTGGAAACACACGGTCAGGACAGTAAAAGAACTTCTGATCCTCTTAAAGACACTTACTGCTTGAACAGAGTTACATTCACGACGTGTTTCTAGATATCTAAGCGCTCTCTTCTCCTCCTCCCTCAGCTTCGCATCTGCCTGTAAGGAAACACACAGAAACACAGAAAATGAAGATTAGGTTCAAACAGCTAAAGCTTTCATTAATGCACAAAGCCAGGAGCACAACTTTATTCTACGCTCTGTCCTCAGAATGTTTTAAGGTGGACTTCCGTATTCATTAGTGGGATCATTTTATATGCATCGGTACTATTGTGCCGTACATATTTCATGTAGTTCTGGACACCGTTCTGCTGCAGGTAGGACGGCGCCTGAGTTCTGTAGAACCTCTCTGTAGAGTCCAGGTAGGCTTTCTCAAAGTTATCCCTGTAGATCTGCAGCTTGTCCTCCGGGTTAGAGCACAGGTTGACTGGTGGGAGAGAAGTAAGAAAGTGTTTATTTATATTTTTCAAGATTTTTTATAAACTATGATGACATTTTGGGGCTACTGAAGGCTGAATACAGTTTGTTTCCTCATAACTTGACATTTTCACTGTATATTTTTTACATTTTTTTCCTTTATCTTTCCTAAATTTATCACTTTGATTTCAAAAATATTGTTTTTGGCTTTTATTATCATTATTTTATCTTCTCTTCCGATGCAGATTTGAACATCCACCATTCATGGGTTTTACGAATTGGATAAGCAGTGATGGAGCACATGCCCCCCCCCGTCTTACCGTATGACTCTCGTACGCCTATCACGAGCTGAGAGTCAAAGGCCTCGCCCAGCCGCTCGGCGTGCACCAGCTTCATGGCGCTGTCCTGCAGGCGACTCTTAATGTTTGAAAAGATCGACTCGTTCCACGTGTCCAGCATCAGCTGTGAAAAATAAGGAGGGAGTTAAACAATAATACCATCAGTTTCCTGCAACCTGAGAATAGTGAAGCCGAATTTATTTATGAAGCGCTTCTAACAAAACCTCCTGCTTGCTGAGTCACACTCCCTCACCCACAGCATCCCCCTCACTTCCGAGACCTTCCTCACAGAGATCAAATAAATATCGTATGAGTCATGTTTTAAGCTGTTCACTGAGTCGAGATTTCGAGGCTAACTGACCCTTAGCTGCTCTCCACCGTCTACATATAACAGTTAAAATTCAATGTTTTCTTCTGCGTGAGCCTCTTCTTTCGCAGCCTTTCTGCCTTTTATTATTCTTCCACTTTGATATCTGCCCTCCCTACTAACCTTTTCCACTTATGACTTTATAAAGTTCATAAAAGGCTTTGTCTTCTTTCATCTAATGCCCTCCTGCTTCTTTAGCTTTTCTTCACAATCAGCCGTCCACACCAGCCACCGTGTTTCCCTTCTGCTTCCTTTAGTGCTTCTGGTTCCCCAGCTCATATGTTGACCTCTCACCTTGCGTACAATGCTGTCCTCCATGTTGGTTTTCTTGTTGCTGCCTTGTTTTCCCATCAGTGTGATCTCCAGCTGACAGAAGGGTTTGGGCAGGATGTCGCACTGGGTGAAGAACTTCCTCCACTCCACAATGTAGGCTTTGAGGAGAGCCGTGTCGTCCTGGTGGCTCAGCACTCGCTGCGAAGACGGAGGTGATATGGATCAACCAGAAAACAAACAAACACACTCATCATGTCTGTGTTTGTCCCTGTGTTTGTAAGCATGACAATTAAAGGTCACATCTGGTGGTTTTCATGCGTTTTATGGTCATGCTTGCTTCTAATAATTGATTAGTCTCTGATTTTGTACTAATTAGCAGATGTCTGTGTCTGTAGTTGTACAGTATATGGATGCAGCTTGCTAACCAAACCACCCAACTCTCAAAATGTATTTATATAGCACTAAATCACAACAACTGTCATCTTGAGGCATTTTATACAGTAAACAATGGACCTGGATGTGAGAGGCCAAATGTCTGATGAGGTCACATTGAAACAGGATTTAACGTTCCAGCTCCCCATCACCGATTTCATGACATGTTGTGGGGAATTCACAGTTAGCAAGTGAGTGTAAAGAGGCTCCTGGTCACTCTACTGAAGCAGGTCCCTTCTCTAAACCAATCACAGTACTCGTAGCTCTGAGAAGATGCCAGGAGCGAGTGTGCAACATGTGGAAAAGGGCAACTTTGGACAATGACTCCGCCTAATCCTCCTGACATGATCTGAGTTTATCTGCTTACAGCTTGTGCTTGTTTGATGAAGTCGAGGATGTCGTCTTTGAGGGCTTGGTGGATTTTGGCTGGTCCTTTGTCATCCCATAGACACACAGCGTGAACATCTCTGGAGGACAGAAAGAGCACATCTGTGAGGCTTTAGACCTGAAATTTTTTTATGTAAACTTAAATTTAGAGTAATCTAAGCTTCTTCATAAAGCTCCTTTCTAGGTCAGAGGTCATCAGCTGCCTGACAGTAAAAAGTGCAAAGACAAAGCAAATACAGGTGCTTAACACAAACACCGAACCCCCCAAGAGAGTCTAAAAACTTTAACCCAAAACACCCACAGGTCTTAATGACAGTGGAAAACCACCCTCGCAACCACATCTGTGTCCACATGTGTTTAGACACCTTTCTATTATAACTTTCTGTAATAACATCCAAGCTCCTCGTGTTGCAGCTCAGGGCTGTGAAATTACTCAAACTTAGTGCAACATTCACTCCCTGCAATGCTACTGCATTTGTATTCAGCTCAAATGATTATTTTCCAATTAAATCATAATTAAAATACAAAGACATTCACTTTAAAAATTATTTTTAAGTTCAATAAATCTGTTTACGTGCTTAATTGAGTTACATCTCAGTAAAACACTTCTGGCAGTTCCCTTATTTCCCACGAGGTCACCACAGCAGATGGATCTGCATATTTCATTTGGCACTGATTTTATACTGGATGCTGTTCCTGATGCAACCCTCCCATCAGTCCGAGCGTTGGACTGACAATAGGAGTACATTAGATTGCCCCGACAACCCCCCAAGGCTGGGCTTTAATCGTTACAATCACAACACTGATGATAATAACTGATTAGAAGAAGCCCCACCTCCACACCACAGGACCTGCTGTTCTGGAAATGTTCAGGCCGTTTTTTCGGCTTTCTCTTTTTTCGCACTTCCCAGTTTGCTGCACTGTGATAAACCTGAACCTGATCTGGATCCAGGATTTTTTTTTTGCTCTCTGTGTCACTAAGAAATGAGGTTAGATAAGAAAATCTGGAGGTTTGACATCATATCTTTACAAATACATACCACATTAAAATAAGAACAACTGTGAGATGTTTCCTTCATGTTCAAAAGAGAATAGTCCAAATAAGCCCAGATGCAGATATTATTCTGGATCCAGGAACTCCAGCGTGATGTGGAGAAAATGATGTTTGCTGGTGGATCAAACCAGCAAACAACATTTTGCTGGTTTGATCCACCAACAAATGGTGGGTTGAGCTGTTTTCTTGGATAACTGAGTTTGGGGACTTTCCCCTGCTCGCCACGTTTATTTAATCCTTCTCACCTATAACTAAGCACCTTACATGAACGCTCTGTGAGCTCCTGTCTCCACATGAAACGTTATAAACTTGCTAAAATTTCCATCAACTGTTGGACCACTCTCTCTTTAAACATCTTTGGATAAGATAAGAAGTCGCAGTAAAACTCTCCATGTTCCTGTTCTGCTATTTTCATCATATTTCTCAATACCAAATGACAAGTCACCAACTTCCTATTCACCTCTTTTGGCCTCCACACAGTTCAAGTTTAAATAGTGCAAAAATCACAAAAAAAGGCTTGCAGGGCTTTTAACCTATGAATCACACGATCTTCTGCAATCTTTGACAAGACTGAAGGCTAGATAAATGAAATTCTCCAACAAAGCCGTTACAAGTGCTTTACTAAATATGAATGTAATCCTCTATACAGCTCTTAATTCCTGAAATAGCACTTGCTACTTTCACGCCTTTTATGATTTAACACAAATTTTAAAGACAAAATCATCATATTTTCATGAGCAAACAGGTCAAAGCACCGGTGAAAAGATGCCTTGATGCCCTTGTGGGTTTTACTTGCAGCTGCTTGTTATTTTCTATTCTATGAAGCGGTTATGGAAACACAAACTCCACACTACTTTGAGGATTCCCACATCTTCTGCCTTTGTAAGACATGTTTAATGCTACTGTGCATTAAATTCAAGACCAGTTTTATAGTTACCAAAACAGAAAAACCAACAACAAGTCTCCAGATGTTCAGCTCTGTGAGCTGTTAGGTGTCCCTGTTATTACTAACAACAAACTGCTCTGAGATGTTTTGGGCTACATCAGCTGCAAACTTGCTGTCTCGTCAGAAATGTTCTGGACTAACAGACTTAGCAGAACAAAAAATAGGGTTAAGTATTTTATTGTCTCCCGTTGGGGGTAACACCAACATGACCACACATGCACACATGAAACAGGCACACATTAGTAAGTAAAGATCTCAATTAGCTGTTTAATTCACAAAAGGGAAAAGAAAAATCATATAATGCCCATGTTTACACAAAAGGAACTTGTACCTCCTTCAAGAAACCGACAGAGTTGGTGGGCCTGTCCACTCGTGCTTTATGGGAGGAAATATCAGAGTTACCTGTAACTAAACTACGAATAACAGTTTTCTCTGAGGTTTCCACAACACACTGGTTAGTCTGGAATCTAGCACAAGGATTTCTGTACAGAGATAACATAAAAGGTGAGCTAACGCATGTCAGAAAGGCTGAATTTAAAGGGACTGCTGGCATTTATACCACATTGATCTGGCCTTCTGATTACCACCCACTTTACGTCCCGAGGAGCAACTGTTCACTGAGCTACTTCTAATAAATGAATCTTAAAACACTGATATTAATACATTAGTTTTAGGTGAACAGAGGGTAACAACAGTGACGGCTCACTTTCTCAAGGGCTCTGTATGTAGAAGTGAATTTCCCCATTTACTTTCTCCACTGACCTTTTGGAAAATCCTAAATAGAAGATTTTTAAAGTTTGAACCAACCAATCTGCTCCGATTTGCATCATGAACATTAAAGATGTGATTTGGGAAAAAAAATTGTACAAAACCATGTGCATAATTACTTTTAACTGTGAAGGAACAACTCATTACATAAAGGACTACAAATCCCAGATTCCACAGAGAACGACTTCCAGCCTTCTTGAGTTTATTCCTTTTCATTATCGTGGTGTGTGCAGTAAAAATAGCCTCAGAAACCGCTCTTGCAGTTTCTGAAGTTTTGCGTTCACTAAGTGACCCGACGTGCACTGGTTTAAACATTTCCATGGTAACAGCAACCTGCACCAATCAGTCGTTATTTAAATTTAGAATTGTGGGTCAAACAGTTCTTCATGACATTGCAAATAAAATGTCTTTTTTTGGGTTAAAACAGCTGATATCGTATGGACGTGTGCTTTCTACAGGAGCGCCTAGCATCATTTCACAATATTTCAGTCCACTTCAGGTGGTTACAACATTATGGCTCATTATCAAAATTCCTGTGGAGGACGTGAACTGGATTTTTACTTCCAGAATCTCACTGTTGTGCTCTATAGATTCAGAAGCTTTAAGAGTTTTGAAAGATCTGCAGGACCTGTGAAAGCATTGCAGAACAATAACAACACCCGTTGAAGAACACCTGCATGAAAATGAACTAATAAAGCAGCTGCTTCCAGAAACGTCAGCAGCTGCTGTGTAACTAACGGACAAAGCAAAACAGCATCACTTACGAGAACAAGTCGAACCACTGTTGCTTGGTGACAGCTTCCTGTCTGAGCAGCTTGAGGACGATGGGCCGCATCAGATCCCACTTGTCCTCAAACTGCAGGGACCCCTTGTTCTGCAGGAGAGACATGGGATGGGTGGGAGTGGGAGGAAGAAGAAAAACAGCCATGAGAACAGAGGCGTGAAGACAGAAAGCAAGACTAGGCAGACGTACACAAATACAGACAAACGACCACAGGCCAGTCGCTGCAGTGACGTTTTTAATATTTTTACATAAGCAAGACTTTTAAACACTCGTGTGACACCTGTGGTAACATTTGCTGTTCAGCTGCACACATTTATATAAGATCTGGAAGAAGGAAAAGACGACTTTAGAGCAGAGGTTTTCAAACTTTTTCTGATAAAGTCACAGCAAAGTTCAAATCAGTGTTTGAACACACACCTGTATTTACATCTGTGCAAACTTAGAGACACTATAAGGAGTACTTATTGTATCAGAACAATATAGGCTTTAACCTTTATTTATTCAGGTGAGAGGGATTTAAAATGGCACAAAAACAACAGCCACACAGAACCACTGACTGCAACAGAAAGGTTCGGTTTCATTTCTTAATTTAAAGACTACCACAGCCACCAGTTCTTTCAGCTCTTTGTGTGGATTTCTAACAAACTGAAAAGCTTTGAGTCCCAACTCTGTCCTGACTTTGGGGACAAATATGTGTTAAATATCACGAAAACAAAGGCTTCACTGATTACGGTTTTTACACGTACACAGATAAGAGGAAACCAACCCAAGTGAGTGAGAAAAAAACAACCACTTAGCTGTACTTGCATTTTGTCTTTTCTTTTAAAGAGCTATGCACCATTCCATTTATTTGAGCAGAATAAATAATTATAACGATCAATAAATTTCATCATCTTATTCTTTAGGAGCAGATGATCCACTCTAATCTAATAACATTAAAAAAAAAAAGCTTCTTTTTCAAAAGTAGTAATTATTTGTTAAAAAACCCCAAAAACTTAACATTCATTTTGGACACAAACCTTCAATGTGTGTTTTAAAGACAAATTCTGATCTATAATTATGTCTTAATGCATGTATGTTGTGATCAATTTAATTGAATTCCCTTCAGCAGTTTGATCTTAGTAAGATTAGGTAACATTTAGCCATTTGAAAACAGCATGAACCTGGGTTTGTCGGCATGAACCTCCACTAGCATGCAGGCTGTTGTCATCACCTAATTTATTTCATTTTGCTCAGTTTCAAACCATCCACCAAATGGTTTTCCAGCCCTCTGTGAACATTTTTTTTTTCTTTCTTTAGCTGACGGGTGATCGGTGCTGGTAGTTAGCTGTGGTTTGAGCCACACGCAAAACAAACCCCAAAACAAAATGATCCTGTTACACCCACTTTGACTTCCTGGTTTGTCTCTCACTCTCATAATCCCCATCATCCAGTAACTATGCAAACAGACCGAGCTACCTATGACAAAGGTTTTCTCTTTTTTCTCCCCCTGTGTACTGTTACATTACTTTATATGCCATCTTACACAGTAATAATAAAATATTGGTTGTTTTACATCATTTGGGAACCACAGATTTAGAGTACTGGAGCACTTCTCATACTCTTTCTTCATATCTGCCCATCTAACACTTCATTTAAGCAATCAAAGCAAGGTTTTTGGAACAATGACTCTATTTTAAGCACTCTGCAATGTTTAAGGACATTCATGGACTTTGATACATTTCAGCACTTTGTCACATTTCTGTTCAAATGTGCAGGGCTATGCTCGCTGTATTTAAGCCAGGCTGTTTTAGAAAGAGGGAAAAGCTCCCGACCTCAAGATTTTTCCTCTTGGCCTTTTCAACAACCTCTGGACCGTAAAATCAGAGAATTGTGGTGCAGAGAGAATGCTGCTCATCCTCTGGAGCTCATAATCTGACACAGACCTGACCAATTTACGCTCCTACCCCCACCTAAAGCCATGAGCTCTGGGTAGTGACAAAAGAATGAGATTGTGGATACAAACGCCGGAAATGAGCTTCCCCTGAAGAGTGTATGACCTCAGCCTTATGGACAGGGATAAGGTGAGGGGCTCTGTGATTTAGGAGGCACTCAAAGCAGAGCTCCTGCTCCTTCACACTGGGACACACTGGAGAGATCAAGTCTGCTTGAAAAACAGCACGTGTGTTTGCTCATCAAGTCTCCCAACTAGGGATGGGTACCGGTGTCCGGTGCCATGATGGCACCGGTTCTGACATAAACCGTAGTAACCAGACCGAAAAGCAGCGCACATTTCGGTGCTTTATTTCGGTGCTTTTTTTCCCTGAGCTGTGATACACTTTAGATTCTAGCCAATCATTTTACGTTTCCGAGGATAGTAGGCGGGGCCAGGTACGTACGTTCAGTTAGAGCAGAGCTACAGATTAAAAGTGTCCAAGGCCAAGCGTCAAAAGTCTGGCTGTACTTCATAGCAAAATATGCAAACTCAGCAGCAACAAGTGCTTTAAGCTGATACTGTGATACTGTCAAAGGAGGTAACACCTCAAATCCGATGAAACACCTGGCGACGCATAGCGTTTTTTTTAAAAGCCCAGAAATGCGCTGTATTTGATAGCTTGCTGCGAGACCTCACACCGAGCACATCTACTGCGGGTGGGTTGCCTGTTATGCAACATCCCCCAAAAACACGAAGAGGAGAGTCCTGGCCCCTAGCCCTGCCAGTGTAGCAGAAATGATGACGGATGATGGTGGCAGCAGCAGCCGTTCTTCTCTGCGTGAGTAGCTAATTTACGTTGAGTAGGCTAACCACGTTATTACATTAATGCATGTAAGGTGAACTAGCAAACATCATCATAGCTACATGCGGCCCTCTTCTTGGATGGCAGATACTCCCTTCACCCTGGCCAAAAAGGCTAAAATGACCAAAGAAAAAGTGGAAAACAGTTAAACATGAGAGGTTTAGGACAAAGTTTGTGTTTTTTCCATTGTTTAAGCGCTGCTTCCAGCCAAGAGTGATACCATATATGCCCCATAGCTGCAGAAAAGGCTAACATTGTTATATTTTTACAAAAAACAGCTGAACATGAGAGGTTTTTGGACCAATTTTGTGTTCTCCATTCTTTAAGCACCGGTTTGAGCACCGGCACTGTTTCAAAAGTACCGATTTGGCACCGGTATCGGATAAAACATAAACGATACCCATCCCTACTCCCAACAGTGTGACAGCAGTTAGGGTCAAGGGTCAGATGGGAGGGGAGCCGCCTGTCGATAATTATGTTCAGCACAGACCTGACCGCCTCTGTCATAGGTAGCCCGGTGTGTTATTAACGTTTGCTGCTGGAAGACATTATGTTTAATGGAGGCTTTTGTAGATTTAGCAGGTTTCGGTTGCAGAGGGAGGGTGTCGGTTTACCGGCTGTTAGATCGCTAAAACCAATTAAGAATAAAGACCTGGCCAAAAGAAACGTATTTACGGTTGAGCTGCGGGGTTGACGCGATGTCCTGTCGGTTGATTGTCTCCCCGAACCGTGTTTCCCTGGCTTCAAGCTGGCTCCGGCTGTCGGTTCGTCGCCGCCGGCTTGAGGTGACCGGCTAACGGCTACGGTTTGGCTCGAGTTAAGAACCGCAGGAGACGGGCTCGGTTCTGCTTCTGCTCTGCTGGAGCCATACACGAATACCGGGGAAAACGGACTCCGATATTAACACCGGACAGACGACAGCGGTGACAACTGTGACTTCAGGCGCACCTATTTGTACATTTAATCCGTTTATTTAAAAATTAGCGCGCTTTTATGCAAAACACGGCACCGACAGCACATATCTCCGTTAGAGGCGTGAACACACACTGAAACGGAGAGACTGAATGTGCGCACAAGCATAGGAAATGCGATATATTCGAGAGCTTCTTACCTTTAACAAATTAGACGTCGCCATGTTTCTTCAACTTATCACCTCGCAGAATCTCGCGAGACTCCTGCTGGAGCCGGCTCAGCATTAGGTAATGTCAGCCCGCACAAAAGGAGCGTTTTTACTGTGAAATCTTCCCAGAAACCTTATTTCACACACACACGAAAGGGCGGAGGGCTTGTTCTCGTGGATCACGTGTCACAATTAGTCCTAACAAGTGCAACAATAAAATTGTGTAATAACATGGACTTATAACAACAACAACAACAACAACACTAATAATAATGTTGACTCATCTCTTTTGTGGTTGCTGTATAACTTTTTGGAAAGACTTTGAAAAGGATTAGGATTATTATTTTAGGGTGACATTGTATTAATAACCTTTTATTGAAATAGTTTAGAGGTGGTAAATATTTATATGCTATACTGTCTTATGCTGAATATTGGAGAATGCTTTTTATATCTCATTTTAAATCTTGTTCCAAACTGACATTGAGTTTTATTCTTAATCTGAAATTTAATTGTTATGTATTGTTTATATGATGGTATGTTGTACATGTGTTGTATGATATAGTTTCTTTTTTTATTTGCTGTTATTTGGGATGGTGGGGATGAATGTTCACTCACAAATAGTCTTTCAGCCCTGTTGAGATTCTTTTGCTTTTCCTGCAGCTGACGGGTGGAGAGGTTTAAAGTAAATATTATTTATTGCAGTGATTTCTGTATCTGAACAAAGAACCAATTTCTAGTGCTTTACTGGATGATCTGGATTCATATGCAAACCATTTTTTTTACTATGAGATCAGCTTTCATTACAAACATTCACATGCTCACAGTTTTCAATCATTTTTGTGTAAAAAGGGAGTTCTGGCATCACATTTACAACAGATCTTTATGCCACACTTGGCCGGTTTAGCAGGGATGTGTTGCTGAAACTGCACCTGCCCTTGAAAGCTACCAACTGTTCATCCACACAGAAATCTGTTCAATGGAGAGAGTATTTGGGTAAAAAGGCTACAGACTATCCAAATATCCCTGAAGGCTTGTTTTGCCATGGGCTATCTGCCTGTTCTGGATTGCAGGTGTTAAACCTGCACATGCACTTCCGGATATCTCTGTCAAATTTTACAAATAAAATAATCATGTTATGTTCCCAAACCTTATTTGACTGAAAAGTGCCCCAAGACTTTTAACCATAGAGGTTAAGATGTCCTGGTTTATATATATATTTTTAAATGTGTTTAATAATTTCAGTTTTATACGTTTTTAAAATTCTATCTTAATATTAAAAGCAGTAAATCACAATTGTCTAAAGTGGGGAAATATTAACTTACGGTAGATTTAAGTAACAATCTATGTCATGATTAAACTATATTCTTCACCATGGACATTTGCATACAAAAAACAAGGATAAAGGACTTTTTCATCTCATCAGTGGTGAAAAGAATCCCAGTGATGACTTTAAAAATATATATCCTTCATCATCGGTTCTTATCTTTTAGTCTTTGGCGCACACACACAAACAGATAAGTGAAGTAGTAATCTTTGCCCTCTGAGGCTGTTAATCATTCAGCTCTGATACCGTGAAGGTGGAGGAGCTAAAAGCTTAAAGAGAGGACTCACTCCTCCATCACTGGTGAGACGACACGGTTGCTAAACGGTCCGAGGATTCGTCCAGGAACGCCAGCGAAATGAACGAAAGGAGCAGAATCCTGCTGTGGATCCGAGAATTCAACCCCAAACAGGTTTTCACCTGGTGAGTGAACAGAGGAGGTGAGAGGGGGAGATCAGCGGTTCAGTTACTTGTGTTTTATTTAGACTTTCAAGTGAATCAAAAGTTGGGTTTTTTTAAATGAAAAAGCTGCTGAATGGCACGGAGGCCGAGTAAACATTTTTCTAGCAGTTTTTTGAGGGGCCATTTAAGATCATATTATCTAGAAACTAAGTCCTTCAGGTGTGCAGCTCGGTTTACATAGACTGATGGATGCTTGTAGTCCCTAAACATATGCAGATCTCACAGCTTCTGATATTTTATTTACAGCGTCTCACATATAAATTTCACATGAAATTAATTAAAACATTCCAAATCAGGTGAATGTTTTCACAGATATCGCTGCAGTCAAGCTTTGAACAGACAACTTTATGATTTGCCTTCATGTAGGAGACATTTGTAAATATTAGCTGTGAACAACAGCCTCACCGAAGGGCCAATGCTTGAACAATTTTCAAAAGGGCAAAATAAACCAAAGTCCAACATTTTTTTCAAACTAAATGCAAATGACAGATTGAGGCTGAAAGAAAAAGAAGTTATTCTTTAGCTCGACTTCATTAGTTATGCACAAGCAGTTTTCAAACCATTGTCTGTGGTTGGGCCACTGCTGTGTACAGCCAGGTCACTGTTGTAAGCCCGTACCCCTCTGCAGGGGGCATAAACCTAAATGCTGAACCTAAATGACAAGTCTTAACTCAACATTTTAAAAACAAACAAACATTTTAAGATCCTGCAGCATTCAGTACAGCAGATTATTTTTTAAATAACATTTCTAAACTTATTTAGTCTTTTACTGTGCGTGTATGTGCCATGTCAGAGCTAACCCAAACCCTAATGTGGCATGGATGGTCTGCAGCAGGAAAACTTAAGAGAGCAGCCATTTTCAATTTATTTATTGATTTTAATTTGTGTTTTTGCTAAAGTTGTGTTTCATTTGCCTCCATATTTGTGGACCTGTGACACCACGGTTGCAGTGGGCTGCAGGCTGGATAATGAAGACTTTTCTAAAAATGTTTTTCGCAGCATTTATGAATATTTAAATATCATCTATTTTAAACTTTATTTCCAGTGTTTCAGCACACATCTTTACATTTCTACTGTTTTATTTTAAAGAGTCATAGGTTAAATTGTTGACTACAACTAATTTTTTTTGTACTTACATTTTTTTGTCAAATACATTTTTAACATCAAATTATAAAACATAAAAAAAACTTGCCTTTAAAGGAATAACGTGGCAGTTTACAACAGGAGATATGATTGATACCAAACTCTTATGTGGAACATAAAGTGAGTTGTGTTAGTTATACTGGGAAAACTCCATGTAGAAACATCATCAACCAAACACCTTGTGTAAAGCAAGCTTTGCTCACAAACTCTTTAGAAAAGTGAAAAACACTTTGTATATACATGTTGAACAGCATCATCTGCCAGGCAGGGAGGAGGTTTCTCTTAAATCTGCTTACAGTGACTTCAAAAAGCAAAGCTGCCTGTTGTGCCTGTTGTTAAAGATCCGCCGCTCATCTCTCTCTCAGGCAGCTGGCCAAGACGTTGGCTATGGGTCAGGGGCTGGCGGGCCTCATCTGTGGCACAGCTATCACCTCCCAGTTCCTGGCCTCAAACTTTCACGTGAACACGCCCATGCTGCAGAGTTTCCTGAACTACCTCCTGCTGACTGTCACCTACACCACCATGCTGCTCTGCAGAACAGGTGACACCCGTGCTGAACACCTGAGATTAATGCTGAAATTTATGACATGCATAGCAACACTTCATGGCAGTAAAATGAAATCTTTATATGCCATATTACACATAAATACACAGAACACTTGATCAGTCTTTACTGGGATATTCAGAGGCAGGTTTTTCCAAACTGGGTGTTGTATTGTGATTAACAGAATGTGTAAAGTAATTGTGATGATAGAAATATTGTTTTGTGTTGCCCTTTGCAAACGGACTAGAAAAGTAAAGCGAGGTGGTTCTCTGACTAAAAATCTAAAATTTTCTTTGTAAATTCGTTGATTTGTTCTTCTAAGTTTAGGACTGTCCTTTTCAGAAATTTGTGAGATTTTGTCTTGGATTTTTTTTGTAAATATGCAAATATATTTTGCTTTGCAGTGAGGCAGAGTGTCCTCAGGCTTGTTGCAGAAACAAACACATCAGTACTGAAGTTCAGGGGTGCTCCCCTTTAAAATGCAGGGGATGGCAATTTTTTACAGATTTTGAAGAGACGATGGTGGAAGTACTTGCTGCTCGGGCTGGTGGACGTGGAAGCAAACTACACTGTGGTTAAAGCGTACCAATACACCACCATCACCAGCATACAGGTGAGTAGACTTTCAAAATTTATTTCAGTGTGTTATGAAAGTGCCAAGATTACTAAGGGTGCAACCACTCCTTCAGTACATAATATGCTCAATTTTATCAATCGATCACTATCAATCTTTCCTAAAATGGAAACACATGTCAGTAAATTGTAACTCAAAAGTCACAGCTGGATCAGAAGCGTTTTGGATGTTCCACATGGTAAATAATAAAAATCAAATAATTCCATCAATTTGCTCCAAAAGGCACCACAAAAACTAGAAGTGTGGGGTTTGATCCAAAGAATCGATCGTATCAATACCAGCTGGCATTGGTGTTCAGTTCACTTCAGTATGTAGCCCACTAAACTGTGTTAAATTAATGAGTTGTCTTGAGGTTGAAACTGAAAGGTGTTTTGTCATTTTAACTAATTATTATGTAAAAGAAAAAATCAGAGTGAATTAGTGGTCATTAAAATTAGCTCAAAACAAATTAATTGATCCATCGCATACGTTATTGCACAACTATCATTTCTGCCTCCAGCTGCTGGACTGCTTCGTGATCCCGGTCCTGATGGGTCTGAGCTGGTGGATTCTGAAGGCTCGCTACAGGCTGATCCACTCTGTCGCCGTCTGCATCTGTCTGCTCGGAGTGGGGGCCATGGTGGGAGCCGACCTGCTGGCTGGACGAGACCAGGGCTCCAGTAAGGAATTCTCCAAAGAGTTTACTCACTAATCAAATCCCTGATGGAAGACTATAAATTGTTTAATAAATCAAGTCCATGCAGGACACCAGTGAAAAAAAACCTTAACTTAGAGAATAGAGACAAAGTATGAACCCTAACACGTGAGTATTGATCTGATATCACTGTCAGTGTTGGTATCTATCATTAGTTGGATCAATCCACCCACCTCTACAGGACACAGAACAACACCAAGATGGTTACACTGAAAACACTCGAGACTTCATCATAAGCTTTTATTCTGTTTAAGGAAAAATACAAGGAACACTTGGAAAGCTGGAAAACTGACTATGATGAGTTCAAAGACAATCTGGAAAATAGAAAGAGCTACACAGGTCATCGGTGGCTAATTGGAAACAGGTGATAATTACAAAAGAAGTAAAACTGAAAACATGGTAAAGAGGCCAGGAAGTGCAAAATAAAACAGGAAGTGACCTTAACCTTTATATGAATCCTAAATTATGACACATGTGATGTTTTGGATTTAAGTGAACGACTAAAGAAAAAATCCTTCACATATCAGGTAATTTTTAGATATAAAGACCTGTGTCAGTTTTATATTTTCAACTCTTGAGACCTACTATTACAGAAAAAAGTTTAGATACTGTCGTGAAGGTGCGTTTTTCATCCAAACCACAGTGTTTTCCAACATGTAACACAAACCAAGTAGTGTAAGTGCCTAAACCTAACCAGGTAATAGACAAAAAAGTATAAACCAAATACATGTTTTACACTTAGCGATGGAAAAAATCAATGCAAAACATATAAGAAATAAAAAAAACTTTCTCTATGGTTATAAAACCAACAATACATCCCATTGCTACCACTTTTCCAACCTTTTGCTGACTTTTTGGTCTCTAATCTGGGATAAAAGCGTTTTCCAGCCTGTGCATGACATACAGGGAAACCAACACTGTGGCAACATTAGCGTTCGTCTGATGATGTTGAACCTTAGCGATGATCTTGTTGTTCTCTCCTCAGCCTCAAACATCTTCTTGGGTGATGGTCTGGTGCTCCTCAGTGCCTCGCTGTATGCGGTGTCTAACGTGTGTCAGGAGTACACCGTGAAGAACCTGAGCAGGGTGGAGTTCCTGGGCATGGTCGGCCTTTTTGGCACAATCATCAGCACCATACAGATGTAAGTGTGTGCGACTGGCATCAGTTTTAGGATTCAGTGGACTTTGTGGTTTATCTGATGTTTCTGTTTTGTTTTTTTTCTCAGGGTGATCCTGGAGCGTAATGAAATTCCTGCCATCCAGTGGAGCTGGGAAGTTGGTGAGTACTGATCTGACTCAGGAACATTTTGAAGACAAAACAGGACTGCCGAAGCCTCCAGATGGTTACGCATGTTAACACATTCATCCATCCATCCATCCATTCGCTTCCGCTTATCCTTTTCAGGGTCGCGGGGGGCGCTGGAGCCTATTCCAGCTGTCATAGGGCGAGAGGCAGGGTACACCCTGGACAGGTCGCCAGTCTGTC